AAAAAAAATACTCATCAACACCTCCGGATGATAGAAACCTATCAAACGAAGAAATTGACACGAACATCCAAAAAATATCAGAATCTATAACAAAGGCCATCAACACAACAATACCATTTTTCAAAAAACAAGACAGTGTACTAAAATACGTAAACTCCAGGATTAAAACTCTCCAGAAAAATAAATCAAATCTCATCACCAAGCTCCATAGGACCCAAAGACTACAACCTCCTCACTTCCAACAAGAAATACCAAAAATCAAATACCACATCAACCTCATCAAAGATGAGCTCAAAAAAGAATTCAGCAAGGCATTCACCAGTTATTGGAGTAAACAAATAAAACAAATAAATCACCGGGACTCCAGTGCGTTCTTTCCAAAAATGAATAAGTTGCTAAGACCAAGAAACAACATTGAAGTGGCCAGCTTGACTCTAAAAACTGACTCTGATCTTATACCATCTGATCAGGCAGTAACTAACAACTGGGATAGAGACTGATAAAAATATAGTGACTATTACTAATGCTATAGACAAACTAAACATTATTGGAAAGCACTATGAGAAAATAAACTCACCCCGTTACCTGAACAACGGAACTGGACTCAAGCGTATTATTGATCGCGCAGCTGACAAAATCAAAAATAAATTATAAGAAAATAACCAAAACAACATCACATTTACAACCTTCAGTCCAGATAACAGATCCACATTTCCTAAAAATGAAGATAATAGTCAACTTACCTTTTGTAATTCATTCACGCTAAAAAAAATCCTCAGCAAACTTCCCAACAAAACATCAAGTGGACCAGATGATATTCCATCCATCGTACTAAAACACCTACCAGACCAGTTAGTGAATTCACTTACCATTATTTTCAACAATGCTTTAAACAATGCTTATTTTCCATCAGCCTGGAAGATAGCTAAAGTACTCCTGTAAATTATCTTATCACTAGAATTTTTAACGGCGCGCATTCGCGCGCCCCCTATCGAAATTCTCGAATGAATTTATCCTGTTCGATTTATATCGATATATTGATATGTTCACGTACCAGGAGATTGACCAATAGTAACTGAGGAGGGTTTATATTCTACCAATAAGGAATCAGGTCTCATTTTTTCGACTATTGACTAACTTCAAACTGTCATGTATTTTTATTGTAGGGATTAAATTTTATTTTGCTGGATCGGGATATGTTGGAAAGAATTTAATAGTTCACTTTAATTCGTGTTTTATCGTTTATTATATAAAATATCACAGTTTAAAATTATTGAACACATGAACTCTTAATATCTATTAACAAAGTAATTTAATTTAACTAATTAATTATATAAACATGAGTAGTATTATTGTTATTATTATTTAATCTAAATATGTAATTATTTGGACACGAGTACTGTTATTATTATTGAATTAGAAATATGAGTTATGAGTTATTAATACACGTGGCATCAAATACCAATATTAATATTAAATTTGTTCTGAGCGATGATAATTATGTAATTTAACAATATCAAATTGTTGAGTTTATTACATGAGTTAATTAATTGATTTATGTCGCAATAATCACTATTAATGACGCGACAATATTTATTACGAGCGATGATACGAGTGATAAGCACAGAAAGAAGTTTGGACGCTAACTGAACTTATCAGCATTCACATGAGCACACGAGTAGAAAAAACTAGAGATTAACAGATTATTTGCATACCGAGCAATTGGTGACATCACCTCAGTCAAGTATGACAACAACTTGCACTAATGACAAATTATAATTTGATGAGTCATGCATGTTTTAATACTGAATATTATTTAATCTCCTATGAATGCTGATTGTACATGTAGAAATGATCAATACGGTATGTAAAAGTGATCCCGAAATACCGGCATAATAATAATTGAGAGGTTACGAAGGCAAAAGTTATGAATGATAGTTATTTAACCGGTTTTACTATGAGATATATTGAAATGTATGAAGAAAAACAATACCTGAATTACCAATTATGTAGAACTTCTTGGTAAAACACTAAATGTAATGAGTTGAGCACACACGGAAAAAAATTTATTGTTGCAGCAACAGGAAAAAATCCTGTAGCAGCAACAGGATTTTCCTGCAGCTGCAACAGGAGGCAGCCATGTTGAAACAACAGGAAAAAATCCTGTTGCAGCAACAGGATTTTCCTGCAGCTGCAACAGGAGGCAGCCATGTTGCAACAACAGGAAAAAATCCTGTTGCAGCAACAGGATTACTACTGTTGTTGCGACTTGATAGTAAAATATAGTTGGGTCAATTCATGTCAAATCGACCAATAGTTGGAATCGACCCCTTTCGATTTGGATAAATTTTGGTTAGAAGTTTTCTTTTATCATACAACGAACTTCTGCCAAAGGAAAAAAATAAAAAAATTATTTGCAAAAGATATATGCAAATTCAAAATTTCTCGATTTTTCTAGTTTTTCAATTTTGTTTTTGTTATATCTCGAACGCTATTATAGATACAGGAATGGCCTCTCGTTTGTTTGAAAGGGGACACTTAAGGCTATTGAAAAAAAAATATATTGAACAATGCCAAATTTGTTAAATTTTGAATTTTTGAAAATCGTCATAAATGACGATCTATATTGAAATTTTAGCTCAATTTTTTTTTTGTATAATACCTTGTACTGATCTTAAAAGATCCTGAAATTTTTAGAACTGTGTTTTTTTTTTAAATACGAATTTTTCAATTTCAAAAAAAAATTTTCTTTTGTTTTTCGCAACTTCTAAATAATGTAAAGTTATGCAGATATATAGTATTGTAATTTTGAGCATTAAAAATAAATGCACGACGTGGAAATATTAAATAATAAATTAATTTCAACTTTTTTTTCTATTTTTTGAACGTAATCTTAAATTCAGGCTTAACACATAATATAATTTCTTATTTTTTTAACGCATGATATATTTTCTCCATTTGTTCACTTCAATAAAAGTTTTTAACGTTAAATAACTCAAACAGATGTTAATTTCCAATAACAATCAGAAATAATGTGGTGAGAATATCAATTTTTTTTCGTTCTTTTGAGTACTTGTTTACTTACAAATTTCTGCATATTAATGTTGCTCAATCTCAAATTTTAAATCATTTTCATGTTAATAAGACGATAACTGGCGTCGACAACTTTAAATGAAGAAAGTGAAAAAAAAAATCACAGTTCTAAAAATTTCAGAACAAATTTGGTATTTTTCAAAATTTTTTTTTTCAATAGCCCCAAGTGTCCCATTTCAAACAAACGAAAGGCCATTCCAGTATCTATAATAGCGTTCGAGATATAAAAAAAACAAAATTGAAAAACTGGAAAAATCGAGAAATTTTGAATTTGCATATATCTTTTGCAAATAATTTTTTTATTTTTTTCATTCGACATGGATTGACCTAATTATATTTTACTATCAAATCGCAACAACAGGAAAAAATCCTGTTGCTACAACAGGATTTTTTCCTGTTGTTGCAACATGGCTGCCTCCTGTTGCTGCAACATGACTTCCTCCTGTTGCAGCAACAATAAATTTTTTTCCGTGCAATTGATTAGAAAATGATTTTAGATATACACAATGCACGTGTTGTTGAGTACAGCGTGTGGGTTTGTTATGGCGGTTGGCGCGCAAGCAGCTGTTGACTTCGGGAGGTGACTTGCAGAGTGCGCGTCAGTTGCCGCATCTCTGGTGAGGTTGAATGCGAACTTACCACATGTTCTGGCGCGAACATGTCGTATTTACGTAACAACTCCCAATATTAAAGAAGAAAAAAGATCCATCAAAACCAGTGAGCTACAGACTAATCAGTCTAACCAGCGACGTTGGGAAAGTGCTAGAGATCCAAATTAACAACATCATTATAGTGTGTGATGAAAATAAAATTATTCCAGATGAGCAGTTTGGCTTCAAGAGGCAACACTCCACGACTCATGCTGCTCATGTTGTAATAACGGATATACTTCAAAGCATACACCACAACGAGCTGGTGGCTGCAGTGCTTATTGACCAAGAAAAGGCATTTGATTCTGTATGGCTGGCAGGCCTCATCTATGTGCTAAAAAAAGCAAATTTCTGTGAATGGTTACTACTTCTTTTCCACAATATGATACACGGAAACTCCTTCAAGACTTGAGATGGTGTCAACACCTCTACTAAGTCGTTTCCTATTGAGGAAGGAGTCCAACAGGGGAGGGTTAATTCTCCCGTCTTCTTTAACATCTTCACAGCAAAAATTTTTAGAATGTTTGGACTCAACTCTGACTCAAGCAACCGTTACACACAAGCTTTTGCAGATGATCTGATTGTATATAAAACTGGAACAAACCCAAGATGGCTCAAAGACGAATTGAATGAACTTCTAAACTCATTAAATAAAATATTCCAGATGTGGAGCCTTCGTATAAATCCCGATAAATGCGAGACAATTCTATTTAGAAGGCCCCTAACAAATGAAAATTCTAAAAAAAGAGCCGAAATAAATGATTTTCAAATCAGAACTGAACATCCAGATACCACGGAGCTAATAGATGTCCCGCATAAAAATACTGTCAAATATCTTGGATTTCATTTAGATCATCTAATGAAACTCAACTTACATGTCAACATTCAGTTAGAGAAAGCAAAAAAAGCATTCCTTGCAAACAGAAGAATTTTCTACAACAGAAACCTCTATCCAACGGCAAAGATAATATGTTACCAGCTTTTAATCAAGCCCATAATCACGTATGGCTCACCAGTGTGGTGGAACATAAATGCGGCCACGATGGAAAAACTGCGGGTATTTGAGCGCAAATGCATCAGAGCTTATTTTAGTCTATATAGATCAAAATACTCCAATTTTAAAAAGTACATTAGCTATAAACACTTGTATGATAGAGCAAATATTCTAAGAATAGATAGCTTTATAATTAAATTAAACAGAGACTAATTTGCAAGCTCAAAAATATAAACAACAGCAACTTGAATCAAATTAATGACATGGACGCCGCTAAAGGGGAAAAATATAACGCCTCCGGTTATATTTTCCCGCATATGTTTATTCATTACGACCGACTAGATCTAATCCAAGATCACAACAATATTCCCATCATTTATCACAACAAACGCAATATCAATGACAAGAAAATTTTATACACTACCGATTGCATCACGATAAACAGGGTTGATATCGCGCATTCAACAGCACTGCCTTTGAGAGACCAACTTGACTTCTCCAGACTAAGCGACAAATATTGGTGGCTAACGGAGGAATCGCCACATCGTAAGACCCTCAAGCGCAGGCAAAATATGGGATGGGCTTCTATATTTTAATAGGGCATCTTGTAAACAGTGTACATAATAGTTTTTTTTTAATTAAGTGAAGAGACATTAAGCAGATGAAGTTTTTATTTATTTTTTTTACATCTTAGTTAATATCAGAGACATTGTATTCACCTCAAATTTTTGTGATTTTATTTAATGATAATTAGACTATAAGTTATAGTCTATAACTAATATAAGTATCTCTGTATATACTAAAGACCAAAACAGTTGTGAGCTGCCCATAAGGGACTTCAACTATTAATATAAACTAAGAATTATATGGCATTTTTTAAAGTATTTTTGCAGCCAAATATACTTTGTAAGAAACATGTATTACATTTAAGCAAATAAACTTTATATAAATAATAATAATAGAGTAGCCGACTTGTCCTCAAGAGGTTCTGAGTTCGAATCCCAGTCCGAGCGTTATTTAAGTTTACACAATTTTTAAAATATGGTTTTAATACAGTCATTTTACCGCCTTATTACCATAAATATGCCGCATTTTTAGCGTAAATATTCTAAATTTTTAGCGTAAATGTATCGCATTTTGAGTGTAAATGTTCAGCATTTTTACAGTAAATATTTTGCATTTTGAGCGTAAATTATTCGCATTTTTACGGTAAATGTTCCGTAATGTTTCGATAAAAAAAACTGACCAAAACAACCGAAAAAATGCTGAAAAAATACCGCATTAATACTGTATAATTGCGACATTTTTTCGGCCTTTACAAAACCGCTAGGAATATGCAAATTCGAAATTTCGCTATTTTTTCAATTTTTTTTTTGAAATATCTCGTACGCTATTATAGATACAGGAATGGACTTTCGTTTGTTTGAAAGGGGACACTTAGGGCTATTGAAAAAAAAATATTTTGGAAAAAAATTTTGAAAAATGCCAAATTTGTCAAATTTTAAGTTTTTGAAAATCGTCAAAAATGACGATCGACATTAAAATTTTGGCTCAATTTTTTTGTATAGTATCTTGTACTGATCTTAAAAAACCCTGAAATTTTTAGAACTGTGTTTTTTTTTTAAATATGAATTTTTGAATTTCAAAAAACAATTTTTTCTTGTTTTTTGTAACTTTTAAATAAATTAAAGTTATGCAGATACATAGTATTGTAATTTTGAGCATTAAAAATTGAATGCACGATGTAGAAATATTAAGTAATAAAAGTAATAAAATAATTTTAACTTTTCATTGTTTTTTGGACGTAATCTTCAAGTCATGCTTAATTAACGCATGATATAATTGTTATTTGTCGTTTTTTTACTTCATTTAAAGTTGTCGACGCCATTTATCGTCGTTTTAAGATCAAAATGATTTGAAATTTGACATTGAGCAACATTAATGTGCAGAAATTTGTAAGTAAACAAGTATTCGAAAAAACGAAACAAAATTGATATTCTCATCACATTATTATGATTTTTATTGGAAATTTATATCTGTTTGAGTTATTTGACGTTAAAAACTGTTATTGAAGTGAAGAAACGGACAAAATATATCATGCGTTAAAAAAAAAATAAAAAATTATATCATGCGTTAAGCCTGACTTTAAGATTACTTAAAAAAAAAAAAAAAGTTAAAATTTTTTTTTTTTTTTTTTTTTTTTAACTTTTATGGATTTTTTACACAAATTTAAACCATACTAATAAAAGTTTATTGGCAATTTGACTTTTTTTAATTTAATTTAATCTCACTGCTTCTAAATTGGATACCGGATTAATTAGTTTGACAGCTAACATTACATAACTTTTAACTTTGTATTATATTATAATGAATACTTATAAAAATAATTATGTGTATTAACGAAATTACATTTTTGATTAATTGAATAATTTTCCAATGAAAACTTTTGCGATCGAACGTAAATTTAATCAGGTTAATATAACTGTATTTTTAATAAATCCATTTATATATAAAATGTTTCAGCAAATCGAAAACCCTCTGTAAATATTATTTTATTAAATAGATAAAGCTGTTAAAATGTGAACGAATCTTCACGAAATATTATCACGTATCGGTCGTATCTTACAATCCCGTATAAAAATCCGGAAAAAGCTTACCGAACGCGTGAGCAGAAACATCAATCTAAGAGTACTTAAGCCAAACTTGAGGCCAATATATTTAACTCGTTAATCAAATAAAAGAAAAAACTGGACCATAAAAAAAGTTATAAAGTAAAGAGTTTAGTTAGATTTCTAGAGCTTAGATAAGCAAAGTAAATTCTATTTATTATCCTCAACAGTTAACTAATGAAAAAAACATCAAAAGTTTAAAGCCTCGCAACGTCACAGAGACGATGTAAGTTGAATTAATAAATTTATCGGTAATTGAATTTTCCAATCGTTTTCTATCAAGTCAATCATCCATCACATTAGGGAAGATCTCAGACTTTCGAAAGTTAATTGGATAAATTATTTATTTTAAGGATATTCAGGGACATCACCAAGTTATAAACTTCGCAGCAAGTAGTTAACTGTTAAATTAGTCAGGCATTGCTGCTCCCTTGTTTCGTTCTCATCAATCGATCCCCGAAATAAAAGATAATAAATTTATCGTGAGAAAGCATATCTCGTTACTCTAAAAGAAATCGATTGCTTGTCAAATGGATCGTTTACTCTATAAAACTGCACCGCGGATCAATTATTTTTTCGGTTGATTTGTTTCAAAGCTCTTTACGTGGTATACCTAGTGCCATCTACAAAGTTGTTGATTTTCTCTTGAATTTTCAATCCTCACAGTGATGAAAATTTCACTTTATTTTTTCAGAAAATCATTAAATAAATGGTTACAATACACATCGTTTATTAAAAAAAAAAAGCAAAAAGATAAAACGGGTTTTATTTTATTCGTAAACTAATAATATAATTCATTGCGTTTCCTGTTTATTGTTAAATATTTATTCGCATTTAATACACAAACGCAAATATTGAACATAAATATGTAATAAAAATTCTATTAAAATAAACAAACCGTGATGATGATATTTTCCTGTGATCCATGAAAATACAACAATCAGTAAATGGTTAAACGCTGCATAAAATATTTTATCAACTGACTGAATAACGAAATCACTAATATGTTGACACAAAATAAAACGTAAACAATAAATTTACTCAGCTACCGAATAAACTCGTTCTCGCTAAATAATCCGATATGTTCGTATGAATACACATTTTTTTTCCGTCTCTTCTTCATACGTTTTTATTACCGAACTTTGGACTGCGAATAATCCGCAATAATAAAGTTCTCACGCTTATTTATTTTTTTCGACGTAATTTTATCGCGTGGTTTTGCACCCATGCATACATCGAACAGCTGATTACCTACATTTATATTAGGGGTTGCAAACTCAGAAGGATCAAGTAACGCCATCTAACGAGGGGATGCAATACTTTTGCAGAGTTAATACAGATTTTATCAATTTTTTAACCACCTGGAACAATACAAATAAAATGAATCTTGAACTCTTAAAATTTTTTGTAAATAATAACATTTATTTGATCAATTTTACATCGTGATAAATTGATATTTCAAGTACATAATCACGTTTAAAATATATATGTTTACTTTTTTATATTTATATTTTTATTATTATTTATAATCTACTAATAATAAAAACGATTAGTGCATGTGAGTGATTTTAAATGTTTACATAGCAAGTGTCATTGGTTCGTCATGGTATATGTAATAGTTATTATTAATGCAAGCTTTGATTACTATCATTAATTTAATTATTCATCATTATTATTATTTATTATTCATTTATTACATTATTATACATAAAAATGTTTTATAATTTCAATTTGAAATCAATTCCTGCTTTTGTTTGTGGTTGACCGTAAATTTACATACTAAATATATTAATTAATATAATGATTAATAATAAAGATATATTTTCATTTTTTTATTATTTTTATTGTTAATCGATATTATTGTTATTAAAAACAGTAAGATTTTTTTATAACCAATTAAGTAATTAAGAATAGATCATATAGTAATCACGATAAGGCCACAAATTTCGTTTATCATTTATAAATGATGACAAATACACACACACATATATAGTTAGAATTAGATATTTTGGATTGTTTTATATAATTTCAATTACATTGGTTTATTTTTTTAAGAATAAAACAAAATAGTAATTTTTTTGCCCGCTGCAATTCTATGGGGAGCGCAAATTGGCAATTGTACTCGGGCTGTAGTTATGTGTTGATTGGTTTTGTAACTAATCACAAAATAAATTACTGTGTGTGTATTCGTAAGCATGAGTGAATGTATGAATGTGTGTAAGTGTGAATGTATTTATGTGTGTGTGTAAGTGTAAATATGGGTGTATGTATTTCGTTTATTGTCATACTCCGGTACAGTGGCGAATTAATTACTTTATTTTTACAATATTCTATTTAAAGTCACTTGAATAGCGCCATACAATTTCATCATTCATGAATTCGGATTTTCCGTACTAATAGATCAATGCAAATAATCAAGTTTATTTCAGAATAAAAATATTAATTAATAAATCATTGAGTCGATTATATTAACAAAGTAGCTTAATTTGACTTAATATTTCTTCTTTTTTTTTTTGTTAATAAAAAAAAGTTTAGAAATAGTATTAATAACATCACTCGTAACTTGACTCGCTTCTTTATTAAGTTAAATGTTTTTTTTTTTTGTTTTCATTTTTATTTATTAAGTATACGTATAGAGTAATATATTAATATTAAGCGATTTGATTGTTTAAGGCAACTGCACATTGTTCCCACTATAATCCGTTGGGACATTTTGTTTAATAGTTCATAATATTTATATATATATATATATATATATACTTATATTTTTAAATATATTTTCATAAGCTCATACAATGAATCAATATAGCCAAGTCTAACAATACTCGAGAACAATTTATAAGAGTTAAAAATATCTCGAGTACTGTTGGAGCGGTGTGTATTTATAAGAAATTTATAAGAGCTAAAAATAAAATTCGAAATTATAAATGACTATTACAATAACAGATGACTAATAATATAACTAATTGAAAGAAAAAAAGAAACATGTCGATAAATTTTAAAAACAAGAACAAAAAAAAGTTACGATGAAGTTTAATTTTATAAATATTTATAATCATAGCGAGCATGAATTTCGTATAATAGAATACGTCGTTATATTTATTTATTCATTATTATTTTATATTTTTTCACACGTATTATATCTTCTATGAATTTTATTCCTCGTCTATAAATTTTCTCGTCATCAACACTCGTTATTTTATTTATTATATTTTTTTTGTTAAATATACTTTTTAGCTGATGTTTTATTTTATATTATTTTTGTCCGGGAATTTTTCATTCCGAGAGCTTCTGTTTGGCGCACTCGGGACAGATGATGTCGTCCGCGTCAGTTATGAATCCACGTCCGACTAGTGAGGTTTTGCATCCAGCGCAGATGAAGCAGTCATTGTGCCAATGCCTGTCCTCGAATGAGATGAAGCGTGTGCCACCGATGCCTATTGATTTATAAAAAAATATCACGTTGATTAATGGAAATAAAATAGCCATTTTTAATCTTTAATAATAAAATAACATTATTTTTTTAAATGCAAAAATTTTTATTAAAAATATTAAATAAATAAAATTACGAACCAGTGATTGGTTTCGTGCAAGCTGTACATCTCTTGGCAAAAAGCTCGCCGAAACATTCAGCGCAATACGGCTTATCATCGCGTGAAGTAAACCGCTGGCCTGCCAGTGAATTGTTACAATGGCTGCAAGTGAAACAATCTCTGTGCCATGGTTCGTTCTTGTATGTTACGCCGCCGCTGGTGATAATCTATATTAAAATAAAAAAAAAATTCATTAATATTCATGAATTTCTTTTTATAATTCTTGTAATCATAAATATTAAAAGCTTCTCTAATTTCAAAACCAGAAACATTCATAATTTCGTAATTCGATTGTATGTGACAAATTTCTTACAACAGAATTTGTTTTTAATAATATTTTTTTTTTTTTTTTTTTTTTTCAATTACTTGTTTGACTTAAAAAATCAGAATCAACGGAAAAAGACATTTATTTCACTTAAGCTTTGTCATTAAACGCGATTGATTTTCTCCGCTCATTCGGAAAAAGTAAACTTTGAAAATTACCGATAGGTACAGCAACAAAATACCCTCGAGATATTTTGACAAATGAAACAGTAATTTTTCTGATCTGGAAAAAGTAATTAGTAACTTTTGTAAAGTTATTGGATGCTCAACAATAATGAACTCTGATATATATATTTTTTCAATTTTATTTTACAAAAAATAATTGTCAATTTATGATTGTTAATTTACTCGAATCGCATTTAATGACAGCGCATGTTATTAATTTTCACAGTGGGACATAAAACAAAAATTGATTGCACGATTTTTGATGTACTTAATCAACGCGTCATTTTGAACAAGTTAATCATTATAATAAAAAAAATCTCGGATGACAAAATACTAATAATTTAAAAGGCATTATTGTCAATTATTAAAATAATTGAACCATCATGCATCAAATAATTAGAAAAAAAAAATTGCAAATCCTTTTCAATCGATAATTTTAAATAAAATAAATATCAGGATCATTTTCAATAGCAGTTTATATTTTTCTACCAATGTTTCTTATCGATTGTAAAGTTTATGTCGCTTACAATAAAATATTACTACGAGCTTTAACTTATCAAACTTTAAAAATAAATAAATTTATCTGCTTTTTCACGTATGATTATCTCAAGAGTATTGTTATTTAATGATACAATCTGAAGTTTTTTAAACAATTGAGTCTTAATTTTACGATGCTAACGTAATTCCTGCTTATCGCGCTTCGTCATAAAATTATATAGTATTGTTTTTTTCTTTAATTTTCAACAACTGTAGTTTTTATGATTCATTATAAAGAATGAAAAGTTATGATGAATAAAAATAATATGAATATTTCAGAATTTAAATTTTATATATAAACATGACGAAAACAATACACCAGCTGGTGTGCTTTTAAATTAGACTTGTTTGGACAATAAACAAAAGCGACGTACTTATACAGTCGTCTCAATTAAAAAAAAAAAAAAAGGTGTCAAAACTACCTTATTGCACTTGACACAACGAGTAGCAAATTTATCCTCGTAACAACCGGCACAGTAAATTTCCTGTTCTCGCGGAATGAAGCTCTTTGTACCAATGGGGTTCTTGCATACGACGCAGCAAAAACATTTCTCGTGCCACTGTCGAGTCTTGTATTCCATCTTCTTGGTACCTGAAAAACATAACAACAACAAACACCCAAAGAGGTGTGTGAATAAACAGAATAACTTTGTATTTAATTCAAGATAGAGAGAACCCACCTACACCTACATCTACATTTACATCGAGATCTACTCTCATCTAGTCTAATCTAATGTAAATGCTGAACCCACAAGAGCAATACCCTTTGGGGAAAAAAATTTCTTTAAATACGTTCTTAGCTTACCTCTACTTAACAAAAGTAATATTTCTACCTAGTGTCACGATTCTAAGTCTTATGGTTCCCGAGATTTCGTGACGAGTGGCTATATATAGTTGGGAATCTAGGCATTTCCTGACAAATTTTGGGCGTAAACAATTTATTTGATTTTTATAGAATTTTTTAACAGGAGTTTTGTTCAGCTAAATTTTGAAATTTTTAAATTCCAGCAAAAATGCCTGAACGAAACTCCTGATAAAAAATTCTATAAAAATCGAATAAATCCTTTACGCCCAAAATTTGTCAGGAAATGCCCAAACACAACTCCTGTTAAAAGCGGAACTCAAAATTCCAATTTTAAGAGGTCCATCAAGGAAGTTACATTTTGGCACACCCTAATATATACGATATAACCGGCCTTGTCTCTTCTCTAACTCCCGCAATTCTGTACGGATCTTAATAAAACGTAACATACTCATTCTTAGGACGATTTCCAAGGTTAAGTTCGAAGATGAGCGAAATCGGTCGATTAGTTTAAAAATAGGAGCGATTCAAAAATTTTCAAAAATTACAAAAATTTTCACTTTTACCGTATTTCCGTGCAATAACAACTAAACGAAACATCATATTTAATTTCTGTGAATTGCATTTGAAAGCTTATTATTTAATAAGCTTTAATTTGCATACTTATTTATGTTTCTAAATTAAATTGTTTAGGTATGACAGCAATTCAAAAATTATTGAAAATTACAAAAATTTTCACTTTTTCCGTATTTCAGTGCGATAACAATTGAACGCGACGTCATATTAAATTTCTGTAAATTGCATCTGAAAGCTTATTAAGTAAGCTTTAATTTGCATACCTCATTATCAGTCTAGTCCAAAAATTACCTACTTTCTCAGACAGCTTTAATGAAATTTTACTTTTGCATTCGTTTTGATGTCATTGTTTTTTTTTTTTTTTGTATACAATCCTGCTAGTTTTTTTCATATTTATTATGAAATCTACTTCCATTTCGGCTGCCGAATGGCCTTTTTTTTTAGTATTGCTCCATTTTTTATAATTTTTAAACCTTAATTTCAGGTATTTTTTCTTAAAAATATTTATATTTAAATATTTTCTATTCATAAATCAATTTTGTCATTAATTTGACGGGCAAACTTTTTTTTTGATAAGAAAAGTTGAAAAAAATTTTTAAATGTTCATTACTGTGTTTTGAAATTGGGCAGCTGAGTTGCAAAAAACAAGAAAAATTCAAAAGTTCAAAAATTCATAAAAAAAAACACTCAGTTCTAAAAATTTCAGGGTCTTGTAAGATCAGTACAAGGTACTATACAAAAAAAAATTGAGCCAAAATTTTAATGTCGATCGTCATTTTTGACGATTTTCAAAAATTTTAAATTTGACAAATTTGGCATTTTTCAAAATTTTTTTCCAAAATATTTTTTTTTCAATAGCCCCAAGTGTTCCCTTCCAAACAAACGAAAAGCCATTCCTGGATCTATAATAGCGTACGACATATTTCAAAAATAAAATTGAAAAAATAGCGAAATTTCGAATTTGCATGTCTTTTGAAAAAAAATTTTTAATTTTTTTTCCTTTAGTAGAAGTTCGTTGTATGATAAAAGATAATTTTTGACCAAAATTCATCTAAATCGAAAGGGGTCAATTCCAATTGTTGGTCAATTTGACATGGAATAACCCAACTATATTTTACTATTAACTCGCAACAACAGTAGTAATACTGTTGCTACAACATGGCTGCCTCCTGTAGCAATTACAGGAAAATCCTGTTGCTGTAATAGGACTTTTTCCTGTTGCTGCAACATGACTGCCTCCTGTTGCAGCAACAGTTTATTTTTTTCCGTGTAAGAATTTAAATTGCGCGCTTTAATCCTAATCAATAAGAAATCAGTAACTATTCTTTTGAGATTTTCGATACTAAACTAACTTCAGTTCAATCATCAATTTCAATTTTATAATATTATAGGATATCGTAATTTTTCTTGTAGTGTATAAGACTGTGTTCAAGGTTGAACAGTACAATTCGTTGAAAAAAATTTACGATGTTGCATGGTATAAATTATGATGTTTCAGTTCTGGTCCGGCACTACTATGTCCTATACTAAAAATTACGATGTTTTCATCGTAATTTTTCGTATAATTTTCTTTCCGTGCACTTTTACATGATAATATTAGTGCACTTATAACAAGTCAAATAATCTGTCAGGCACATAAAATATATGTCAATAACAATTATTTTGTTTAATAACACAGTCAATAATAACATTAAAAATAATCTTTCCTGGACGTCCGTGTGTCTGTGTTTATGGATCCGTGTATGTGGCAGGAAAATTGTTCGAAAAAATAATCGTACCGGAATAATTGTTTTTTTACCATCTAAAGTAACACACTAAGGACTTTCTCAATTAATATGACCGTTCAATTCACTGCCGTTTAATTATTATTTATAAAAAACTAAGATACGACTGTGTATTTGTATATCTTTATGGGGTATTCCATGCCAAATCGACCACTTTAGATTTAGCTTAAACTTTATTATTGTTTTCTACCTTTTGAAAAACATTTTTGAGAATTTTTGCAAATTTTTTTGTCCAACCCAAAAAAATTTTGAGTTTCCCAAAAAAGTGACTTTTGTATTTTCAAATAGCCATAACTTTTTTAGACATTGACCTTTGGGTACCTTTTTTGTTTAAAAATTTTTGTTTTTAAATGAACTTTTCGAAAAAATACACAAAAAAAATTAAATATAATCAATTCTATAAAATAATCGGGTTTTTTTTAACAAAATCGTTATTTTTTCAAAGTTGGCCACTTCTTTTTTTATTTTTTTTTCTAAAAAAAAACTTCAATCAAATTGACAACTATTTCCGCTCATCCCGGGCAGGGCCGATTTTTTTTTATATTATTTAATTGAAAAAAAAAAATTGTCAAATTTTCTGAAATAATCAAAAATTTTTTTTTTCAATTAAATAAAAAAAATATTAAAAAACTCGGAAAAAATAGACTGGAAAAAATAGACCCAGAAAAAAGGGGAGATTACGATTCGTACGGCGCCACGATTTGAAGGCGGATTCTTGTAGATCTCGACGAAAGAGAATAAAATGAAAAATTAAAATCTTCGATATATCATCGAAGATTTATGAAAAAAATTTTTTTTTCCTTTTTCTTAGCAAATTTTCATAGATTCTTTAATAATAAATCGAAAAGAAAGAATACAATTTTTTCATATTTTGAACAGTTTACGAGATATCAAGTCTTGAAAATAGAAAAATAAAAAAAAAATTTTTTTTCGCAATTACGCGCGCTTGTGTCAGCTTATTCACGATTAACACACACTCAATCCATGTTAAAAGACCGCGACATGATTACCCCTGTTTGTGATGGTCTATTACCAAATTGGGGTCCAGGGGCAAAGCCTCAGCGGGGTTGGGGGGCGGAGCCCCCCCCAGTCTTTAAAATAAAAAAAAATGAAAAAAAAGAAAATCAATTTTCAAAAAATAAATTTATAATCAACATATGCGCCTTTTTCTGAGTTAATACACATTTAATCCATGTTAAAAGGGCGCAACATGATTATCCGCGTTTGTGTTTGCCTATTTACGAATAAAACACACATTCAAACCATGTTAAAAGGGCACAACACGATTACCCACGTTTATGTTGGTCTATTTACGAATAAAACACACATTCAAACCATGTTAGAAGGGCGCAACACGATTACCCGCGTTTGTGTTGGCCTAGTTACGAATAAAACACACATTTAAACCATGTTAAAATGGCGCAACACGATTATCCGCGTTTGTGTTGGCCTATTTACGAATAAAACACATATTCAAATCATGTTAAAAGGGCGCAACACGATTATCCGCGTTTATGTTGGCCTATTTACGAATAAAACACATATTCAAACCATTTTCAAAGGGCGCAACACGATTATTCGCGTTTGTGTTGGTCTATTTACGAATAAGACACCCATTTAAACCATGTTAAAATGGCGCAACACGATTATCCGCGTTTGTGTTGGCCTATTTACGAATAAAACACATATTCAAATCATGTTAAAAGGGCGCAACACGATTACCCGGGTTTGTGTTGGTGTATTTATGAATAAAACGCACATTCAAACCATTCTACTGTGTAGAATATTGTTACATTCAATGTTAAGGTTGGTAAGTTGTAAAGTATATGTTATAAAATAAATTATTTAAATAAACAGTATTATTAAAATAGTATTCGTATAATAATAACCGTATTTATTGAATTTAAATGTTATTGGATTTAAGACTTTGTTCAAATTCATTAATAAAATTTGTTTTAAATGTATTACTGTAGGGTCTATTTTGTCTGAGTCTATTTTTTCCGAGTCTATTTTTTCCCG